TTTTTTTTTTTTTTTTTTTTTTTTTTTTTTTTTTTTTGTACCAGGGATTGAACTTGGGTTCTGGTGCTCGCAAGGCAGGCCACCGAACCACTGAGCTAAATCCGAGAGCAGTGGTTGGATTTTTTTGTTTTGTGGGTACCAGGGATCGAACTAGGGTCCTTGTGCTTGCAAGGCAGGCGGCGGCAGAACCACTGAGCTAAATCCCCTGCCCTGCTATTGACTATTCTTTTCCCCTCCTTGTAGTTAATGGTTACATTTCCTTGATTCTTTGCATGTGTAGTAATTTTTTGTTCTGGACACTATAGAAGAGATGGCATAGGAAGTCTAGATTATGTAATCTTTATTTAAAAACTATTGAATTTTATTTTGGCAGACAGTTAAGTTACTCTTGGATCCTTTTGATCTCATCAGCCTTGTTTTAGGCTTTCCTAAAGTGGGATTTTTTAGGTTTTGTCATTAGCCTAGCCGTGTTTCCTGCCATGAGCCAGTCCTTACTCAGAGTGTGACCGTTCTGGGGCCTTATTTGAATGCACACGGTGCTTAGCATGGTTTCCACACAGAACTTCCCCTTGCCTGGTGTGTCTGTTCACTCTTGGCTTTGCAGCAACTGTTCTCGGTTAGATGTCTTGGAGTCTCACCTGCTCACGTGCACTTTATGTCCTCTGAACATACTTGGCCTGCGTTTTAGGAAAACCCCATGCAGACTTCTGTAGTCTCCCTAGCAGCTCTCTTTATCTTGTATCCGGCACTTAAATTGCAGCCACGGTCTCTCATCTCTGCCTCCTCAGCTCTATGAGTTTTGCTTCTTGGGCTGTACCTCTCTAGCACGACTGAGTGGTACCCCCAGGCTGAAAGCTGGAGCAGGTGGGGTTCACCTTCTGCTTCCTTTATCTCAGAGACCACAGGCTTGTGCTGTCTAGTGCCGGCAGAGAGCTGCTTTGTATAGTTTGTTTTATGGTACAGTTATTGAGAATGGAAGGTTTGTCTGAAACCAGTTACTCCAGTGTGACAAGAAGTAGAAGTTAAGGAATACTCTTTTGAGGGGAGAAATCTCTTTAAATTGGGATTTGCTTCTGTCAGAGCAGCAGAAATCAGAAAAAAAAAAATGTTGTTTGAGACAGAGTCTTACTAAGTTACCAAGTTGCCAAGGCTGGGTTCAAACTTGCAGTCCTCCTTGCCTCAAGTCTCCCAGAGTGCTGGACTTACAGGTGATTGCTTAAAATATTACTTAAACATTCCTGTAATGTTACCTACACAATAAAAATATCAGGTCAGACAGGGGATTGTCCTGTTACAGTTGTACGACATTTCCCCATTAAGAGTTAGATGTATATCTTTCTGCAACTTATTTGTCAGCAAACCATAAAAAAGATTCAGCAAATGTTTGAGGTAATTTTGTAACCGAGCTTGCTGAATTAACTAGATAGCTGATAGCAACAGAGTGAAGGCCATGTAGGAAAGAAGTCTATGTAAGGAGTGGTTCATTCAGTAGTTGCTCTCACTGGGTGGAAAGCAGACCGAGTGAGAAGCAGTGTTCAGGTGAGAAGTGGTTGTAACTCAGAAAAGATGGTGGTGTGCTGGTCATGGTGGTACACACCCGGAATCCCAGCACTTAGGGGCCTGAGGTGGGAGGATCGCTGGGGGTTCGAGGCCAGCCTGGGCTACACGGTGAGACCTAGTGTCAAAAACAGAAGAAAGAGGAGGGGGTGGTGGTGGAGCGGGGGAGGAGGAGGAGGAAGGAGGAGGGGGAGGAGAAAGAAAAGATAGTAGAGGTAAAATGAAAAGTGGTAGATAAATATACATTTTAGAAGTAGAGCTGGCTCTAGTGTGAGAGGAATTATGGATGGCATTTGGTGTTTGAGCTTAGCGGCCGCCATTTTACTGAGAGGTGAAGGAATGGGCTGCAGATACGTGGGGGAAAGGATCGAGATTTCTTTGGTTAAGATGCAAAGCAGGCAATCAAATGGAGATGTGAAATGGACAGCGGAATAAAAATGTCTCTGCAAGGGGACAGATTGCTTTATACGGAACAAAGTGGGTTGTCTTTTTTATTCAAGTTTTGACCTCAAAATTTGAAGTTTATTGACAGTAGTGAGAAAAATACCCTCTGTTGGCTGTTGCCAGAACTCTGTCCGGGTCCTGGACTCCCGATTTCGGCTCATTCCCTTACCTCTGTGAGATGCCAGCTCCTCATCCTTCCAACGTGGATGATACCATCCTCGTGGACTTCGCTGGACCCCGACTGAGGTCACGTACGCCGAGTGCCTGAGACAGATAAGCATAATAGCAATTACATTGTTAATTGCTCTAGGTCTTGGTGAGTTTATCTCCAGAAATACTGCAAGTTATTTAATTTTTTTACTTCAGATGAAGAGATAAGTGAAGATAGTAGAGCAGGCTAACTTACAATAAGTCCTTTAAAAACGAGAATTTCATTCTTTGAGAATTTAGGGGCCGTGGCAGCTTTCTTTAGAAGTGGCAACACAGCTAGAGAAGTATATGAGGAAAATGTAAACATTTTTATATAAATGCATATAAAATATGTGTAAGTGTGTATCACACGTAGCATATATGAAATATATGTATTTGCCCTTCGATATACAGTGAACCACCGGCCTCAGTCACTGCCACATTCTTAAGTTCCTGCTGCAGTTTGTGTAAAGTGCTCACGTAGACTCAAAAGTGACTATGTATTGTACTTTGAGACATATTGATGATATACTGATATTGTATTGATACTGTTTTGTATCGATGACATATTGATTCGCGGTGGGGTTTTAAAATCCCTAATAAAAGGCTAGGGAATCAGATTCATCAGTAAATATTAGAGTCACAGAGTACACAACCCCTGGATCTTGTCTGATAAACTCTTAAGCACAGTGAGGTCCAGTACAGTTTTTAGCCCATTGCCATGACACCGATGCTTACTGTAGTAAGGTTTTGTTTAACCGGCTTTCTTCGTAGTGAACCTTTACTCTCTGTTACATGCCAAGACGCTGTGGAGCTCAGTTTATGGCAGGGTGAACTTGTGTGCAGGAGTAGGCTTGGGCGCCCTCTGGTGGCAATAGTGTCTTACTGTTTTATGAAAATTATTGGTAATATTAGAAAAGATTGAATGTGAAGTTGCCAGAAGTGACGCCTGTGTAATTTTCATCAGTCATATTGCTACTCGGGCTTCCTAATGCTTCCTTAATTTGATGGGGGAAACGGGGGAAAATAAGACATCTAGTTTTATTTATTCTGACAACTCAGAAATGAGGAATAATTACCAAAATATTTAAGTACTTTGAATGCTCTAAATAAAGATAATTTTGTGAATTTACATATTTTCAATTCTGAGTTTCCTTTTGGATCACTGAGATGTTGCTACCTTTACTAAGTATAGTATACAAAACATGGTATATTACATAGTATTAAAACGTATATTGAACAGGCTGTTCTATAATATTTCTTAGATATTGGAAAGTTTAGAGGATGCACAAAAAGGATGATATGCAATGATGGAGTTAAAATCCTTTATAAATTTAAGAGTTCTAATTTGGGAGTTTTGGAAAAATGGAAAGTGATTTGTGAGGTCTCATAAAACTAATTTCTGTGATTTATTTAAAGTGGAATGTTTGTATGGATGTATGTGAGGAATGTTTCAGAAAATAACACACTGATACTAGTCTGCATGTTTTGTCTTTACATATGTTATAACTACAGACAACTTAGGGTTCTATTTCTTTAAAGTCTAGGTAAAACTCTAAAGAAAAATATGAAAGATACTTCCTGTGGAATTAAAACAATAGCATTTTTTAATATATCAAAAAGTCCTAGTTTTTTTCCTGATAATTTAGGTAAGGAATTCTCTTGGCCTATAAATAACAGAAAATAGAAAGTCCAAGAAAAAAAATTAGCTGTACACAGTGGCTCATATCTAAATTAGCTGGACACAGTGGCTCATATCTATAGTCCCAGCACTTCTAGAGGCTGAGGCAAGAAGATCTCTTGAGTCCAGGAGTTGGAGAACAGCAGACCCACCTGAGAAGGAGGTGGAAAGAGAGACTGAGTGGAAACCCTACCAGAATGCCTCAGTGGTGCCCTTATTAACTGAGAAACACAAAAATATTACCATATGTGGAAAGTGGTACAGAGCCCCCAAAATGCAGATAGAGATTATCAGTATAAAATTCTACAGGGCAGAGGATTAGGGTTTGGGACTTTTCTTTGAGCTTTTTATTTAGATCTTTTTCCTCTTGAGGGGACTGAAGTAAGCTTATCATTTTATCACTGGGAAAGAAGTTTTGTGGCAACAATTATAATAAGAATAGATTTCTAGTGTTCCTTTCTACAAGTAAGGTTCATAGTTAATACTTTAGCAATTAGGTTTCTCACTCTGGGATGTTAAAGACAGTGGTATAACTTCTACTCAAATCATTCTTGAGGAAGAGATTTGTGGAGCTGGTAGTTAAGAAGGGAAACAAGCATAGAGTGGGTAGCAACTGGAGTGGAAGCCACAGCAGGTTCTACCCTTGTGGGCCCAGGTTTGGCATAGAAACCAGGACGTCCAATGTCATGTGAAACATGAACCGGGTACATGGTCCGCCTCCTGGGCTATCTCGCCAGTTGCTTTTTCCTTGAGAATGTTGCTTGTACTAAGTAATCACAGATCATGTTTATACAATAATAGATTCAGGACAAGTTCATCTTTTACCTCTACTTACAAAGAGCTAGCAGGATCAGGACCAGATCCCTGAAACACCCTTCATTGCACTGTCACTAGAGGGTATGTGGACACAGCCCCGCAGTTCTGAGCGCTTGCATTCAATGAAGCTCTGCTTGTGGCTGGCTTTTGTGTGATTTTCCTTCAGTGGCACCAGCAGGTCAATTACCTGGTTGTCTTTATTCTGACCATCACAGTAGCTGTCCCTGCCTGATCTTTCCTTGTCTGGTCTCAGCGGGCGAATAAGACTTCGCAGTCTCCTGTTGAACTGTAGAGGGAGCGTGGATGCAGGGGTGAATATTGTTTTCTTCACTTACAGGAGAAGCCCTGATATCCAAGCAAAAGAAGAACTGTGGAAGCACATTCAGTGAGTATTGGGTTTGTCTTTCCCCATTGTTTTCCCGTCCATGTAGTTTTAATGCAGTTCCAAGAGAGATCCCTGACAGGGCAGGCGGCCTCGGTCTGAAGTGTGCCAGCTTGTTTTCATTGTCACCACTCGTGCCAAGGCTCACAGTGCTGGCGCCTTGAGACCTCCCCTAGCTCCCCTGTAAGCAGACCTCCGGCCTGCCAGTATTTTAAAAAACCAATACCAAGGAAAACAAATCTCAAGGGAAACAGACATCTGCCCCAGGGGAGAGAGGCAGAGCTGTCACAGGAAGTGGGAGATGGCTGTAAAGTGTGGATATAGAGAAACGGAAAGATACTAAAAGATTTTCCTCCTGTTTTTTCCTTGAACACATTCTAGTGGTTTTATCTTTGCCCTAATTTAGTTATATAAATATTACATACCACTAGGTAATTTTATATATATATAAATTTTTAGTAGCACTGCATTTTGGGACACATTTGAAAGGGAAAATGTACCTGCTGACTGTAAAAGATACTAGTGTATGTACCAGCATCACAACTTTTACTTTCTTGCCTCTTGCCTTCTAGAAAGGAGCTGGTGGACCCATCTGGATTGTCAGAAGAGCAACTGAAAGAGATTCCATATACTAAAATAGAGTATGTCTTATTTTCCTTCGTTTTTGAGACAGGGTCTGATACCTAGTCCAGGCTGGCTTTGACCTCGCCAGAGAGCCCATGGTGGCCTCAAACTTTCGATCCTCCTGCCTCAGCCGCCTAAGTGCTGGATTACAGGCATGTGGCACCATATCCAGCTTAAGAGTATGTCTTTGAAAAAAAATCTTTTCACGAAAGCTTTATTTGTGCTTCTCAGGAAGGGACTCACTCTTACACTTGTGTTCCTTGCCATGTTCTGTCTGCCCATTTAAACTAAAGTTAGTGTGAGTGTGGGGAAAGAGGTAGAAAAGGGCAGAATAAAATCATCGTCATTCTGTTCTCTCATCACTGTCAACTCCGTGTGGTAGGTACAAGGTGGCTTTTGATATTTAACACTTATTTTTAAAATAAATTCTTTTTCTGAGGTATTCATTGATTGATGACAAAGTTAATGGTTATCCATTATTTTATGTTTAGCCCAAATCCCTGTCATGTAAGTCCAAGGTGGCCGCTGTCGTATGTAACACGCTGAACTGAACAGATTCATGAAAGCATGACAGGACCCCTAGTCACAGGGTGTGCAGGCTGCAGCGGTCCTATTTTCTGTCTTGTAATCATCAGTTCAAGGCCAGAGCTTTCTGCAGCCCACATTTTTGCCCCACCCAGAAATACTGCAGGTTGGTAACCCCACCCCCACCATCTTTGGGCCAAAGAGTGAATTTTTAAGGTATAATTATACATATTTATGGTATACAATATGACACTCGATTCATTTACATTGGGAAAAAATTAAATTAAGCCAATTCACGTATCTACTTGTTCACATATTGTGTGTATGGTGAGAACATGTCTTACCAGTGTTCTAGGAAGAATAAGTTCTGAGTAACGGGCTAGGGAGCAGCTAGGGCAGTGATCAACTTTTCCTGTTAAGAATGCCATTTTGTCTGCATTGTAGATTTTTCTTCCAAACTGCTAGAGATTATTCGACTGTAAAGCATAATTGCAACTAAAGTTTGGTGGTTAAAAAATATATATATTCACACCCATCCATAGAGATCCTAGAAGAGCTGTTTGTATGTAGAGCATTTTCTGTTGTTACCGTGGGACATCTCAGTGTCTCCAGCTTTCAAGTTCTTTTAGAAACCAGTCTGAGAGTGATGATACGATGATGATGATGATGATGTTTGCTATTTCACTATTAAGGAAACAGTCCAGATTATCCTGTTGTGATTTCTGCTATGGACGCTCCCCCTTTTTTGTTTGGGTTTGGTTTTCTGTTCAGGACTCAGGGTGACCCAGTCCGCATCAGGCTCTCTCACTCGCCGAGAAGCTACCGCCAGTATCGAAGGTCGCAGTGTTCGGACGGAGAGCGCTCTGTTCTCTCGGAAGTGAAGTAAGTAGGTGGCCCAGGCTCGTCGCCAGCCTCGTGCTGAGAACTGCAAAGCCAGTAGCGCTCCCTGCAGTGATGGACATGTTCCGTCTACACCATGCACTCTTTGAATTTGAGCTCTGACTCTGGTACCGCACCGTCCCCTTCATTAATCCTACACTATACTCCCTGCAGCTCAAAAACAGATCTCGTACCACCACTTCCAGTGACCCGGTCTTCAGACGCTCAGGGTTCTGGTGGCTCTACAGTTCATCAGGTGAGTAATACAGGTTTTAAGGTGCGAACTAACGAGAAGTTTGAGAAGCAGTTTGGGCCGTGGGGAGTTCCTTTGATGACTCTTTAACTTCACTCTGAGAGTCTATATATTAAAAGAACATACACACAACAAAAAGGGAAGGCAGTAGGCGACTGTGACCAGAACCAAGGCACATCCTCGGAAGACTTGTGTTAGGAACACGATACACACAGTGTGAGTTCCAATGACCTGAAGCCGGGGGCGAGGACAAGGATAACAAGATTGTAAGGTCGTTTGGAACCAGAATAAAGAAACAATAGTGGTGTTGCTAATTTTTTTTTTGCTACCAGGAATTGAATGCACGACCTTGTGCTTGCCAGGAAGGCGCGCTGCCACTGAGCTAAATCCCCGGCCCTAGTGTTACTTTTTTTTTTTTGGTACCAGGGATTGAACTTGGGTCCTTGCGCTTGCAAGGCAGGCCCCCGAACCGCTGAGCTAAATCCCCAGCCCCTTACTAATTTTTAATAAGTATTTTTAGATAGGTTTTAAACTAGAGAAACAAAAAGGAATAACAACAAAAAGCAGATAGACTCATTGGATAAGGGGGTGGGGGCAGATTAGTTCTATTGTTAACAAAAAACAGAATTGCCAGAGTCCTCTTTTAGTTCTGTCCTCCCCATGGAAGAGACTTACCTTCATCCTGGAGATGTTTTACACATGTGGTTAAAAGGGAATTCGAGGTCAGAGAGTACCTACCAGCTGAAGTAGGTGGTTGTATGAGGGAAGCAGAGTTACAAAGGTTTGTCTAACGTCTTTGATGTCATCTCTCACGGTATATTTAATGATAAACGGAAAAATGTGGGCTGCAGAGAGTGAGATGGGTTAAACACCCATTCCAAAAACAAAGTGGATGCTGGATCAGTGTCAGCCTATTGTTTGCAATTCTGTGGTTTTCATTCTTGTTTGGACCATGGATCCCTTAGAGAATCCAAGTATAACCACTGTTTCTCTCCACAAGTGTGTAAGCATATACAGATTTGCATATAATCTTGGGGAGTTCATGGACCATCTATAAGCCTGACCCTGGTGATATCCATCAGATGCTACCTTTTTTTTTAATCTTTGATGATTTGAGCAAAGACCAAAACAGCTTCAGCAACTTTAGGTTCCACGGAAACAAATTCTGTGATGGAGATTTATATGTGGGAGGTGTACTGGAAAGTATCTTTAGGATCGACACTTGGGGAATAAAAGAGGGGAGGTTTAGCCAAGTGTGGTGGTGCATGCCTGTAATCCCAGCACTCGGGAGGCTGAAGCAGGAGGATCGCTGTGAGTTTGAGACCAGATAGGGCTACATAATGAGTTCCAGGTCAGTCTCAACTACATAGTGAGACCCTGTCTCAATCCCCCCCGCAAAAAAAACAAACATAAAAACAAAAAACAAAAAATGGAGAGAGAGGTTTGAGTGGAGGAAAGAGTTCAACTGTGTAATGCAGTTCCAGCAAAGGCAGCACGTGGTCCTGTGGCAAACTCTGGAGCTGAATGGCCCTTCACAGCCTTCCACCTTGGGGACAGGGGGCTGGGCCTTGGCACACTCACACCTGCCACACGGCAGTCATCAGATGAGGGGGCACCTGGAAGGGAATGACCTTGGTAAGGCGACTCTCCTCAGCCAAGGGCAGTTCTGGGTAGGGGGATCGGATCACTGTAATCCCCACTCGGGAGGCTGAAGCAGGAGGATCGCTGTGAGTTTGAGACCAGATAGGGCTACATAATGAGTTCCAGGTCAGTCTCAACTACATAGTGAGACCCTGTCTCAATCCCCCCCGCAAAAAAAACAAACATAAAAACAAAAAACAAAAAATGGAGAGAGAGGTTTGAGTGGAGGAAAGAGTTCAACTGTGTAATGCAGTTCCAGCAAAGGCAGCACGTGGTCCTGTGGCAAACTCTGGAGCTGAATGGCCCTTCACAGCCTTCCACCTTGGGGACAGGGGGCTGGGCCTTGGCACACTCACACCTGCCACACGGCAGTCATCAGATGAGGGGGCACCTGGAAGGGAATGACCTTGGTAAGGCGACTCTCCTCAGCCAAGGGCAGTTCTGGGTAGGGGGATCGGATCTGAGCCGAAGAGCAACCAGCACTCTGGGCTGCTGAGGAATGAATGCCCATCTGCAATGGAAATCTGAGCCTCAAACACGGCTTCTACAGCAGTCTGCCTACTGTGTGGTAGGGGAGCACTGGGAGATAAGTTGTCAGAGCAAGACAGTTTACTTCAAACTGATAGCACTTTTTCAATGTTATATTCATGATTAATTTAGGCTTTGCACTATGACTTGCTTTATTTATGTCTCTTCATTTCTACATTGTTATTGTGGCTTTGAGCATATTGCTTTTTGGTGGGGAGACAGGGTCTCACTGTGTAGTTCAGGCTGGTCTTGAATTCATTATATAGCCCAGGCTGGCCTCAAACTCACGGGGCCCCTCCTGTCTCAGCCTCCCATAATTCCTAAGCTTCAATTGCTATTCAATATAGAGAGCCTGTCTTCTCTTAAGATTACTGTGATGAAGCCAGGCCTAGTGGCACTCCCCGAAATCCCACCACTTGGGAGGCTGAGGCAGGAGGATTGCCACGAGTTCAAGACCAGCCTGGGCTACACAGTGAGGATCTGTATTAAAAAACCAAATTATTGTGTTGACTAATAAGCACTGTTAACCTTCAAGAATTGTCTTCTGAAGTTGGTTTCCATATATGAATTTTATTCTATTACATTTCTAACTACCATATACTTCCTAATCACCACCCATCACTAAGGTATTTCAAGAAAATTATGCACATAAAATGTTGAGTTTTCACTCTCAGCACTTTCACTGTGGCTGTGGACTGTGTCCAACTCCTAATTATATGCATCCCCAGGATGCCTCGTTGAGACAGCAGATCTCGTCTCCCCACCTGACAGGTTGATCCAGCCCCAAGTGATAAGGGTCCCTAAGACCCTGTACTGTAAAACAGGTACTGTTCATTTCACTGACTACCCGAAAACAATCATAACTCTCCATTGTCATCTCTTCCCTACTTCAAAGTGGAAACACTTCTTTCGAGTTAAGCCTCCCCAAGTTTCATAGCCTGATTTTTATGCACACCATTGTTAGACTGATTTTACATATTCAGGATTAAGCGTATGATCTTTGTTGTTCATTTTGCATATTTAGCTGTTGAGGGAATATGTCAGAAGATATTAGGAAATGTTTCAGAATTACAACTTAATGTCTTAAAAAAAAGCATAGTAGTTTCTGATATATTTTAAAAACACTGGATTGGCTGTATTTTCTGACTATATTTTTTCAATTACTTTTCTTTCAGAGAAGAAATGGGTCTAAAGATAGCCTGATTGAAGAAAAATCTCAGCTATCCATAACCAATTTGGCTGGAAAGCACACAGCAAAAACAGTAAAAACCATCCAAGCTGCACGCCTCAAGATAGAGACTTGATCCCTGGGAGAGCCAGGGCAGTGGGAGCCACTGGTACTTCCGAAACTGTGAATTAGATAATTATTCAAGTGTCTTGGACCTTGCTCCTTTTGAAAATCTCACTACAGCGTTGTGCTGAAGGCCTTTAACTGGAAGGGCGGTAATGTTGTAAATGCTCACTTGATGCCACATCCTCCCTGCTTCCTGAAGAAAGGCAGCTTGTGTCTGTGTCCACTACAAGACCAGGTGCTCCTGACCCACCTTCCGGACTGCGGGGACTTTGCTGGAACAATGGGAGGAGTGTTCTTCCCAGCTCGGTGGCTCAGCCAGTGCTGAGGTGTGTGCACAAGGGCTGTAACATCCCTCAGACCACGTTTATTCATGTGAAAGTTCTTTGTAGTAGTGTTATTTTGTGGCATTGAGTTCACTGTAAAGCTTTAAGTGTTGCTTTTAATTTTGAAAGCGACCTTGTCTTGTGTTTTCTGAAAAAAAGAAAAGGCTACGTGTGGATTTGTTTCCCCCTACCCTGCCTGGCCACCTAACTTGCCTGCTGTCCTAGACCTCCTCCCTCCACGGGGAATCTTTCTGATCTACAGGGAAAATAAATATACTTATGCAGGACACCTTTTTAGCCTTTCCTTACCAGTCATCTCCGGTCAGCGTCAACCCCAGTCCTCCACCCTTTCTTTCCTGTGCTTTGGATGCCCTGTTCCTCTCCCTCAGGATCATTTTCTCTGCTCTCTGTAGAAGGTATTCAGCCTCTTCCACCAGTTACCTTTACTATTTGGTGTTAAACCTGTGACTGCCACCTAATAATCCAACTTTCACAGCCAGAAAACCTTGTCTAACTGCAATTTTTTTATCCTCAGCTAAATTGCTTCAAAGGATTTTGCTTCGGTGTTCAGTTCTTCTAACCTTTTTCCCTCTACCCCGTCAAAACCTCCCTAGGCCTTGCAACATCCTCTCCCTTCACACTCTATCTTAACTTTACCTTCCCATTATTGGGAGCTAGGTCTATACCCATCAGCCTTGAGGTTTATTTTTGTAGCTTACACTACAAAGCGGTGTGGTAAGAGGCCACTTGGACTTTTCAAAGGTTTCACCTAGTTCAGACACCTAGTACCAGCTGAATTTAGACACTGCTCGTAACCCTACCAGCCTACGTCATGAATACCCCTACCACACCAAGTCTGTTGGCCTTGCTTTCATTTCACCGCCACACTGATCTAAACGGGTCTTGCCTATTAGACCCAACTGAGGTAGTCTAATTGGCCTGCCTGCTCTCAGCTATTTTCCACTAGAGTCCCACTCTTTGCTTTTAATAAAGCCCAAGCTTTTGCTGGCCCGGCCTGTACCAGCTCATTTGGTGACACACTAACAGCCCTCCAGCAAGACTCATTGAGCACATACATCCCTAAACCAGGGCACCAGAGGGAAAACAGCCCAACTGTTAGGCAAGACTTATGTCACCTTTTCTTTGTCCAGGGTCTCTTCATATGCCACTCTAACTTTGCCTTTCAAGTGGAACCTACCTTTCATGTCAACTCTGCTTTCTCAGGTTTCCCTCACTTGGTTAAACCCTATCATAGGACTTACTTGTGAATTCTGTTTCCTCCACTCAGCTGTGTGCTCCCAGAGGAACTGTGTTCTGCTTGTTGTTTGCAGCTCCTGGTGCTTTCAATAAATTTTCCCACATGCCTGAAAACACTATTTATGCTTTCCTGCTCTTTAAAGGGAGAAGAGCTAACCTTTAGTGTACAAGTCTAGTTTTTAAAGAAATATGCAATGAGTGGAATAAAAAACACCTATGACCCAGAAATCGGCTAGCTAGCACGTAGCATTCACAGGAATGAGTCCTTAAAAAACCACAAACTTCAAAGCGCGTTAAAATATTTATTTCCATCTTTTCTTAACAATTATATTCCTGGATTACAGCAGGCAATTATTTCACCACTCCTCAAACTGCCGGAAATTTGGAATGGTCGAAGCACTGGAAGATTAAATTTCCCAAATCCTCACCAGACACCCTAAAAAAGCAAGAACAACAAAAAACCGTTTGAAAAACAAGTGTTTACATGTGTTGTGACTTAAGAACTTGCCAGTAGTCCTCATTACATGTTTCAGTACTGGAAAAGATGGTAGTAGTGAACATTCAAACATGTATAAAGCTAGAGACCTACAATGCCAGGGCTATGTATATTTACTCTTTCAATATTACTCAGAAAAACAGCAAAACGTCCATGTAAAAGACTGCCCCATTGGCTAGTAACTACTTTGTTAACTACACATAGCGCCAGTGCTAATGAAACACTAACACCACAGAAAATGGAACATCTCCACTCCTCAGTGTCATCCTACCGTAGGTCACCTTTGTGCTCCCAGGCGGTAGTAAGCTAGCAACCGCTGGCTTCAAGCATCCATCTTCCACCTGAACAAAAATTCGTTAAAACCGGTTAAGAAAAACGATTCGATGTTGGCCAATTTAGTCAAGTGTGCACAGAACGTAAATGCACGAACTGTTACTTATGCAGCTCCTACACCAAATATACCAAATACAAGGGCAGGAAAAGGCTGCCAAGCATTTATTTGTGCCTTTTTTGACACCACATTCACTAGTTTTCAAAAGTGAATGGGCAACACAAAGGCTAACATGAAAACAGCGGGAGATCCACCCTGGGCATGCGGTTGCCGAGATCCACCGTGTTAATAACTTGAAAGCAAATAATCAACTAAACTCTACATCTTCTAGGGTTCAAAATCCTGAGCGAGGAGAACTAAGTTTCTTACCGAACAGTTTCGCTAATCCCCGAGGCAAGTGCCTGTCGTACCGACGTGAAAATTTACCGGCCGAGGGGTCCTCGATCTCAGGTCTGCACCTGCACACAGGCGTTACGACCGGCATCTCAAACGGCACTTGCTTCGACGCTGGCCCCCTTTTCCTGACACGGCGGGCAGAAGGGTGCTGGACGGCGAGGCCTTTCCTGTCCACGCGGAAAGAACGTAACCTCCGCCTACGGTTGAGGCCACCGGGCGACGGCGAGCACTCGACCTCCCGCGTCCCAGGGAAGAAC